GAAGTTAAGAGAAGTATTTAATTAGCTATTGGTTTATCATTCATTATTTAAAGCCATTACTAACCAATATTAACAATACAGATGTGGTTGCTGTTTTCAAACCTGTTTTCTTCCCTTTAAGCTACATATTTTGGAAAACCTCTCTTAGGCTCAAGCAGATGAAATAAACACTCAGCTGTAAATCAGCCATCCAAAACATGAATCAGAATACCGCAGCGCAATCTTTCACAAACTTACTTAGGAGTTTATTATGAAGAATAATAATGATTAATCAGATTGCGGCTTTAAATGGAAATGAATACTCAGTTATTAAGCCACAGAAGCATGTCTTCAAAATTACTTAATAGCTACTCAATGAGAAAGATTTTCAGTGCTTTCTGAATGTAGTTCTCATATCACAAGAAAAATAAAGTCAGATCAGTGCAATCAATCTATGAATGCTGCAGTGCTAAGTGCAGTTATCTGAGTGTAAATATTATTGGATTCAATGCAGCTTTCTTCCAAAATTAGTTGACACAGCACTGGGTGCCAATCATCAAATTATGAGTAATCAAATAATACACATGTTTATGTGAAGAAGTCCTCCACTGGAGGTGGAGATTCACAAATAATTAATATCCATGCCTGATTTCTTATTATACATTTGTTCCTTCTATCGCTTTTGCCATCATTTATCAGACTTGAAACCTCGTCACATTTGTTTATGGCGTATTATACCCTTGGTTGATACTTGCAATATAAATTTGCCCAATTAAGCACATTGTAGGTGCTGAAATAAAATGCAGACATATGGCAGTCATCAGCCTAATTTTCTGAGTGAGCAGCATTTATTATAACTTAATATGCAGTTGTGACATTTGCAGATCCGAAATGCTAGATACATTTCAGTGTCGTGTCAATGGGTCATAAAAAATACATTAGCACCATAAAAAGAATCACAAAGAAAGGTGATGAAGAAGGAACATGTTTCAGCGATGCCTGGTGGTTGCCCTCATATTAATTACGGCACAGCATACTGGAGAGGAAGTGGAAGAGCATCATTATTCAACTCATTTGCATGCAGAAAATTAGAAGTCAGAGCAGCATCAGACACCAAGACTCTGCTTTTGAGGCAACTGCCAGAGCATTCAAGCACTGCTGTTGTGCGATCTCTTTTACTTCCAATATGTCTCAGGGATAAAGCTGTCAGCTCTTAAGGAATTTCCATTAAAAGTGGAAAGAGGACAGGGGTGCTATTCAGCAGGTTCTGGCAGGTTCCAGAGAACCGGCAGTGAAAATTTTGAGTAGTTCGGAGAACCGGTAAATATCACCTCTGGCTGCCACCAGAGTGGGGTGGGAATGGAGATTTTGCAATATCCTTCTCCCAGGAGTGGGGAGGGAAGGGGGATTTTGCAGTATCCTTCCCCTGCCATGCCCACCAAGCCACACCACGCCCACAGACTCGGTAGTAAAAAAATTTGAATTCCACCACTGAAAGAGGACACTTCATTAGGAATGCGGTTGAAGAGCAGATTAGTAAGGCGTGGAAAAATTGTGATCATCCCAGTTGTGTTGGACCCCTTGTTCCAGAAAAAGGGGCGTCAGAGCATCTGGAGGTGGCCTTAGCAGACTTCTACAAGTCACTCTATGACCAAAATAATGCATTTCTAGGGAAGACCTGGTCACCGCAAACTTCAATGGAAAATTGGAAATAATAAAACTGAACAAGCTTCAATTTTGGCATAATTTTTCAAGCCTCTGGAGCTTGGTGGAAACAAATTAAAATGATTTCTGCCAAAGCCAATAATAACACTAAAGCAATTTGGGACTTTTTTTCACTCCAGAGTGAGGAAATGCAGACCATCAAGTTTTTCAAAGCTAGAAACTGTAATGCTGGGAAGTGCACAGGAATCCACCTACATTTATTTAAAATCCTTGTACGTTGTTCAGACTATGTTTCTACATGTGCTCTTCTATATACTGTGTTGTGCTTCAAATGCTTTGTTCCACACAGAAACTGGTTTGATTTCACTGAAGGTGAGAAGCCATGTTTGCTGATTCTTTTACTGTCTCAAACCCATTTTCTTATGGCTTCACAGCGTCATTAGTTCTCCTTGATGGCTTTTCATCAAGGTGGAAAGGAAAAAAAACCTCAATTAACCTGTATTATTGTGATCTTTCTGGCAACTCTTTGCTGTCCCTAGGTTTAGAGTGTATGAAAGCAACCAAAGTCTTTGATATAACATGGCAGATGGATTTGGATGCCACAGCCAATATTAAGTAGCAGGTGGGCTCTAAATTAACAAGACTAGGTCTCCGTTCCCTGAAAAAACTGTCCTTCAAATTATGTGCAAACAAATGCTTATCACCGCCTAACAAAAATCCAATCTCTAATCAGAGAGAGGCGACTGTTTCCTGCTAAGATTGGAAGTTTTTGTTTATATATTTTTTCCTTTTACTGGATTCCTATTTTACTCTGTTTATATTTGATCTTTGAAGTCCTCTTCAAATAAAATGTTGTCTCCTACAATGAAAACTCAGTTCATTAAGCAACCGTTTTAAAATGTCCGACAACAGTCCCGTGCCATTTAGTCTCAGAATGGATTCAGACATCAAAAGACATGGCTACATTGGTAATCTAAGCCATTTCAGATAGCTAGGACATCATGTTCCATTGGTAAAGCCTCACCATGAGTTACATTACAGCAGAGGATTCTATTAGCGAATCTGGAGTTTTATCTTTAAGAATGTTTTGTAGCTTGTACATCATTTTTAACATAATTCGTCAGACTTGTCTTTCTTGATATATATATTTGCTTTCTTCTCTTATCGTAGGTTTTAGTATGTATTTTTCTACATACATACATACATACATACATACATACATACATACATGAATGAATGAATGAATGAATGAATGAATGAATGACTCTTTTGCGGGGGATGGAATCCATAGGCACTGTGCCCCCCAAAATTACATATAGATAAAATTTAGGAAAATAAAACATAGAAGAGTCTGGGCAGAGATCAGCTAGTTAAAAGGCACAAGTAAAGAAATATTAATATGGGAAAATTCTTTATAATGTCTGATATTGTTCTATTTTGCCCAGTGCTAGCTCCTTCGAGAGATTGCCAAAACTAGCCAAGGTTTTTCATGAGGGATTTGTAACTGGAGTTAGATCCACTCCTGGAAAAGAAAAGCTAGTGAACATGGGGTTGCTTGTATAGTCTAATATATCAGTGTCTTTAAAAAGATAGATGAGATGGACAGAGGATATATAAGGTAGGTGGAATACAAGGAAGGAAGAATATTAAAATAGGTCAACCTAGTTCTGTATGAATGATAATTTCTATCTGTTACAAATAGTGGTTCATAGACGTTTTGTGAGTCTCCTTTGTCTTCTACATTTGTAGACGTAGAAGTGATCTATGAAAAAAGGTTTGCTATTTCTTTTTATATTTGGTTGCACCAGTCTTCATCGGGATGCATGCTGCACTTCATGCTTTTAGCTTATTTTTTCCACATGTAAAAACTTTTCAGTGTGAAGGATTCATTTCTCATTTATTCTCAGCGGCAGGATGCTGCATTTTTATGTGCTTGATTTCTGTGCTCCTTGCTGCAAATATTGGCTTTAATGGTGAATGTAATAATCATGGCCTAGAGAGGCTTTGTTCTTCTAACTACTTGACTCTGGCTAAAGAATCAGAAGCAGTATCTCCATAGGCACTCATAGATGTACAGAATTACTTGGATCCTGACCAAGTTAATCCTATAATGCATTAAAAAGATATTAATCCAAAAGGATTCAAGCACTGTTTGTATCAATAAGCACAATACTGAAAGCACAGACCTATGTGCATGAACCCAAGATTACTTGATTACCTGATTAGGATTGTGTTTTTTAAAAAAAGTACTTTCTTATGAAATAGATGGTTTAATTTCTGAGCATCCCAGATAGTAGTTAAAGCTTGCCAATACAACCAGAAATAGATTCAATACAACTTTCCAAAGCTGTAATACTTCAAAGGATCACTGTTAACGTTCCCTACCTGGAAAATTGGCTGGTCAGGGAGAAGGATAAATACAGATAGAAAGTCTATCTGACTTTCTACTTTTCACAAGTAGTTCTTGACAAAAGGAAAATGCTGAGATTTGGAATTCGCCAGCTGTGGCCTAAAGTAAAATGATCCCAGCAAGAGTGATCTGTCCAAACAGCTTGGCTAAAGAATTAGATGTTTCAGTGTACCCATTTGCTACTATTCACAAGGGCCAAGTCCTTCCGTCAAAACGATTTTCCATTTAGGAACCATCATGGCTTCCCTGCATGTGTCTGACATTGTCAGTGTATGCATGAGTATCCAAGCAAACAAACTTTCTCTTCCAATAATGACACCTGTGCCTCCAGTGGCACTGATTGGCTTGAGTAAGGCATTGAGACAAAGTGTTTCCCAAGGTTGCCACAAAGCATCTCTCTTCAACTCATGAAAACCACCATATCTTTTACAAGCCCTATGTGCGTGTTTTGAAAACTTTTCCATCTATCTCGTGTTCCAAAGTGAGTGGCTGTACAGAAGCCAGAATGCTTTCAGAGCAACCGCCTGAGCCTTTAGAAACACGTGGCCACTTTAAATGGTTCGAAGAGAGATTTATTTTATTTATGCCTCTATGTTTCATAGAAATGTGTTGTGATCTGAGGCACAACATATGATCTCACACATATCAAGATGCTCCAAGTCAAGGTGCACAGTATTTAAATTGGTTATTAGGCAGGAAAAAAAATCACAGGAGCACTTGTATCATCCTTGGTAGTAAGAATCCAAAAGTAGAATCAATAGTTGCCATGGTGGACCCTTAGGATATGTATTGCTGATGGCCACACTAATGGTAGAGCTAATGCTCCTCTTTCTTAAAATACCTTTTCAGGAAAACAGCCAGTACTTTTCACTTTGTCGTTGTGTTCCTTAACCAGTTCTCTTATGTTGATTATGCTTTTCTCTTTCCTTCCCACTCCAACTTACAGCAAACGTATGTGACAATGAACTTCAAATTTGCCAGAATGGAGGGACGTGCCACAACAATATACGCTGCCAGTGCCCGGAAGGCTATACTGGTGTACTGTGTGAGAAGCGGAATTGTGATGTGGATCCAGATGGCTGCAGCGAAAGTTCAGGGCAAGGGGTAATATCAATACAAACCCTGCTACTTCTACTACCACCAATTGCTCCATTGGGATTAAGTGGGCTTTTTATATTTTAAGCTACGCAGCTTGGGATACATCAGCTTCAGACTGCTTTGAGAGAAAGGTGTCCAGAAAAGAACCAGATGCAAATAAGAATTTTCAAAATAAGGGGGGAAATTATACAATTTTCACACATATATAGACTAAAGAAAAGGCCTGACTGAACTAAGCCATATGTATACCTTGTGGACAACCCAACCAACCAAGACTGTTACTTCTTGGCTCAAGCTTAAATGAGGCAGCTGCCAATACTATTACAACTACTCAACACGACAGCTGCAGGCACTTACACAGGTTCAAAAAGGCTTGGGTCGCCACCCCCGGATGGAAATCCAAGACAGAAACAACAACAACAACAACAACAAAACCACAAAAAAAATTGCTCTTTCAAACTGGTGCGCCACCGTACCTCTTCCCAGTGTGTGGACCAACCAAATAGAAGCATTCTTTGCTGTCAGTGCATTGTGGGTATAAGGAAATCTGTTTCAAAGCTGCCATATTGGCCTGCTTCAGCCCCTTAATCCCCCTTTCCAACTGTGCTTTAGTGAACGTTGCTCTGTAACCTTTGTTGGTTGAACGATCTCTTTGTCTGATGTTAGTAATGCACATGTGTACCAGCCCCAACTCAATAAATCTCAAGCCGGTCATATCCTTGTATATCTTAGAAGCACTGTGCCCTGTCGACACAGTGCTCCCCTATTGTACAAGAGTGGCAGTAGGACAAAAAGAAAGTATATTTATCCTTTTGTAATCAAATGAAGTTATTTTTCTTGACTAACGTACAACGTAGATTTTTTGTATTATTGCCAATTTGTGTTAACAATTGAGTAATGTACTTTAATCCTAATCAGATGGGGGGAGGGGAAGAGATGATTTTTAGTTCGTTCTTTTCTTTTTCCTTTTTTTGAAAAATTCATTTAATTGTGCAGAGATTTCTCTGTATGGGCAACGTGCTGGCATCAAAGAATATCAGTTTACATATTATAGCAAGTGTAATAAGATACCACCAAAGGACATTCTAAATGTTTTCTTGTTGCTTTAACACTGGAAGATTTAAGAGAATAAAAATTCCTGCATAAACTATTTCCAGGGATTAGTACTGCAGTTTCTTGATATTATTTTACCAGGTAGAAGACAAAGAAGTTCCAGTCCAGACCTGTGCAAGCACAGCAAAAAATTAAAACTCAAATCTCCATGCTGTCTACAGAGATTAATTAAGAGTGACAACAACATGAGATCAATTGTTGAGGTCAGCAGATACTGGATAAGCTCCAATCAATTCAAGTTAGACTGCAGTCCTAACTGAGAAGTAAAACCTACAGCATTTAACACGATGTTACAGTATTCTGAAAATGGCATTATCAAAATATTTATTTTTATAATTTCAGTTTAACTCAGCTATTCATTTTAACATCTATGAACAGAAGTCAAACATTGTGCAAGTAAGTTTCCATTTGCATAACAATATTTCTAGCTTCTTTCTTCTTTCTACAACTTCCCACATTTTCTAAAACCGCTACCTTTTTAGAGCAAAACATGAATCCCTTTTCATCAAGGCCAGGATTTAACCCAGTATTATCATCAGGGATAATTCAGATGTTTATGTTGAAGCTTTCCCTCAAAATTCCAAATTCAGCATTACCATTTAATGTCAAAATTCAGCTTTCTGTTATTGGTTAAATGGATGAAATTATGATACCGTATATCCTGTTTTTTAAGGGTTCAACCAGAGCACCAAATGTTAACTGCAACTGTTTCAAGTATAAGAACCTGTTGGTTTTAACCAAACTTTGCACCTTCAATTGAAATAACTGTTAGGATAATTGATACAATATAAATAATATATATTTTAAAAAACAACCCTTCAAATAACAAAAGAACTTAAAAGGCTTAACTATCCAAGATCATAAAAAGTGTTTTGCCTAATTTGGGGGAGGGGGGGAGAGAAAGGTTGACAGTACTGGGACTGTTTGCGGAAGATATTTCCAAAATGTGTAAGGTGCCACAACACAGAAGGCTTTCTATTTGCCATTTTATTTGAAACAACAGACTGAGTCCATGCAGGAGAATTAATTTGAGTGAATGGAAGTGGGAATAACTGTTTCTTTGGGTAAGAAACAATTACATGTTGATTACTGCTCAATCTTTTTTTGTCATATGGGCAAATATTGAGGACAAAATTCTGATTTGATGATATCAACCAGGTTGGAAATTTGTTTCCAGCTGTGGTGCAGTTGAAACCGAGCAAGTTTATATTTCTTTCTGCAGCACATTGATACATTTTCCCACAGGAAACCATTCTGGCCTCACTCCACTTGCTGACTATGGTTTCCCCTTTAAAGGTCCTTTAAAGGGAATCCTGGCTGGACAGTTTGCATCTCTCCCTTAGTAGTCCAAGGTACAGAGTGGGAATAAAATTAATAAGACTATCAGTTTCCCCCTGGAATTCTAAAAAGGGCTAGGCTCCTTGAGTTTTTATTATTTTTTCCCCTTTTGTGTGGAATTAGGGTAGAGAAAAGGAATTTTCTAACTATAGAACTATGTCTGCTTGTAGTGAGACGGTGATTGAGCAACAGTCCATGGTCCTTGTGTTCTATGTTTCTGAGCTAATAGAAGTAAAATCCCAGCTCATTCTCCAATTTCTTTCGAAGAATCAGTAATGGAAGTTATCAGTGACATCAGCTGGACATTCAAAAGAGGCAAGATGGCAGTTAGAGCATCACCAGCTCAAGCAAAGCCTTTTCTCCTTTTGTACATGTGTCAATGTCACGCACAGTATAAAGGGCAGGACCTCAGTTGCAAGGCCATGATTGCTCTCTTCCCTTATCTGATCCATTCCTGCAGAATTCCTTGGAAATAGTGTTGCAGAAGCATATGGATAATACCAGAACTCTATTGTTTTTACTACGTTATTTCAAAAGTCTAGATCAGGGGTATCAAACTCAAGGCCCATGGGCTGGATCCAGCCCGTTGGGTGCTTAAATCTGGCACATGGGACCACCCTGGAAACAGCGAAGGACCGACCCGCAGTGCCCTTCCAAGGTCCGTTTTTCCTGGCAGAGGGTTGCAGGAGGCCATTGCAGCTGAAAACAGCTCACAAGGGCCGCAGGCAGCCCTTCCAAGCTCCATTTTCAGTGGCAGAAGGTTGCAGGAGGCCGTCACAACTGAAAATGGAGCTCAGGAGCCCGCTGGCAGAGTGCTTAGGGGCCACCACAGGCACCCCCAACACGAGTGACGTCCAGCTGGCCACACCCACTCTGGCCATGCCCCCGGACCCCAAGATCAAACACAACCCTGATGTGGCCCCCAATGAAATCGAGTTTGACACCCCTGCTCTAAAGAAAAGACAGGTTTTTTTTGCAGCTCACGATAATATTTGCTGTTAAAATTCCACCATAGACAATTTGTTTATTATATATGTGCTGGAAATATATACATACTGTATGTACATAAAACAGATTCAGGTTAGAGTGGAAAAAATGTAGTGCTATGGTTACATTAATTCAGATCAACAGAACTTTTGTAAGCAACTTATCGCTTATTCTTTTGCACATGTGCTCAAAGAATAGGGTTTCAATACAAGGAAGATTTGCTTCTGCTTTACCTAAGAAGAATATGTTGTACCTAATGGTCTCAAATGTAGGATGCTTAGGCCACATTCTCTGATAATCCATGAAGAGTCTGCTTCCTCCCTCTTTCTTGAAGGTAAGAAATGAACTGCAGGATTGACGTGGAAGAGAGAAGGCAACTTGTAGTAAATTGCAGCCAAAGCATCTCTTCAGGGATTGAGATCAACAATTGGTATGCTTTTGAGGGAAACAGGAAAGAAAGTGCAAGAATTAAAAATTCTAGGTTCATGTGAAAGGGTTTTATTGGGTGAACTACAATAAGCACACTAAATCTCATTAAGTAATCTGAGAGTTTTGAGCTGAATCATATAAAAAACATCTAAGCTGAATGCCATTGGAATATGTTCAAGGGTTTCTGCAGAGGAATAATTGAAATAATGGAAGAATGGGTACCACTAGGCTATCTTTGTGTCAATTACAGAATAACAGAATTGGAAAGGACTTTGGAAATCTTCTAGTCCTCCTGCTTAGGAGGGCCTATAACGTTCTGGACAAATGACTGTCCAATATCTTCTTAAAAACCTGTGTTGGAGCACCCACAAGATCTAGAGGCAAGATGTTCCTATGATTAATTGTTCTGTTAGGAAATTTCTCCTGAATTCCAGGATGGATCTCCCATTGATAATCTTCCACCCATTATGTTCTGCCCTTAGGTGATTTGGAGAATATTGGAAGAAAGATATCATTTGTTGAGTGCTGCTTCTGTTATAAAATAGATATCGATAAAATAGATATAAAAGTGGTAGTCTGGACAAAATCAGCCGCATTCCAAAATCTCGCAAAGCTGAACCATTCCTAGGGGTATAGAGATAGAAAGAAACAGAAATTAGCAAACTGGTATTTAGAGACTTTGGAGCTTATGGGGAAATTTTGCACGGATAAATATCACCTAGAAATCTGTAAGACTTTTGAAAAACTTGGCCCCACAAACATGAACAGCATTACACCCAAGGGAGGTTTAAATGATGGGGTTTCAAGTTAAGGTTATTTGCTTTCATGTTTGTTATCTCAGTGAAAATCATCCAAATACATTTCTGGAAATCTTAAAGAGAGAGAGAAAATTTTTTTGAACTTTTTTGGGAAAATATCTAGAGATTCCCCGTAGTAACACAGCAGTAGATCTTGTGTTAACTGCCCATCTGAAATATTCCAATATATCTTAAACTTTAACCTACCTAACAAGGAATACAAACAGCTCCTGTAACACATATGCACAAAAATAAAAATATTTCTTCATGATTTCACTAATAGACCCTTATTTAGTATTTAAAAGAAGTGTCAAGCTATAGTGGTAGAAAGGGCTGTTCCAGCAAATAGAGTTTATTTTGAAGCCCAAGGTGTAATAAATTCTTGTTCCTGCCTTTCCTGCCCAATTATTTTGAGTGACAGCAAGAGGCAGAGCAACAGATAGAAGAAATTGAGGCAAAAACACCAACCAGACCATGGTTTCAAACACAAGAATCCAGAGTTGGCAACAGAGGTGAATTTGCTGATGAGCAGATATTCTGTCAGACCCAGTGCAAATATTTTATCAATATAATTGCCTTGAGTGGAAAATAATTAGCACCAGCAAAGTCTGTGGAGAACCGCATATGTTATTCTCTCCCTCCCAGTCTGGTCTCTGAAACATCAGCTACAGTTTTAGAACTTCTTGGTAGGTTTTCCTTCTTTCCTTAGGAGAATGAATGTTTTCCTGGCCAATCGTCTGCAGGAGCAATCAGTAGGAGAAAAAGTCTAAAAAGTCTATAGACTTTCCAGATTTGCTTCTCAGGGAGCTTATAGAAAGCCAAAAAGAAAAACCCAACTGCAGCATTGAGTGAAACGTGTCAAGACCACTGTACTAATGCAGTTGATGGCCTGTTTTGTTATTCACACCCGCAGCCTCTTAGGGTATACTGGAATACGATAAGCAAAGATAAATTAAAACTTTGGCTGACTGCCAACCCCATCCCACATGAAATTGTAGATTTACACCAGAAGTGTACTCATGATAATAAACAGAAAAAAACTATATTGCAGCCTTACCAAGAAGTGCAAATGCAAATACAGCTGATTGGCACACGGCACCAAGGATTACTTCTAATTAAAGTGGATTTCTAATATTAAAATGTGGAATTTAAGCTGCCTGGAAATGTATTAGAACAGATGAAAGAAAACACAGGGTAATTGTCATAAAAGTTGTACTTCAACTAATGTGAGCGCTCGGGTGGTAGAGCACATGTTATTATATTGAGATTTGCCATCCAGTCTAAATTACAATAATAGTAAGATGTCTTTACTATCTCTGCATATCTAAGGTGACTCTGGGCTTCTTTTCTTCTTCTCTTCGCTATAACCTTCTTTCTCAACTTCGACAACTTTAAGATGTGTGGACTTCGATTCCCAGAATTCATTGAAGTCCACACATCTTAAAGTTTGCCAAGGTTGAGAAATACTGCTCTATCGTTTTTTTCC